TGCTGATTCTTCAATTATTAAAGTGTGGCTATTACCACACTGTTCTGGAAAGGAAACATTCTTGTTTCCCAACTTGTCCATATTCTAAAAGAACCTCTGGGTCACTTCCTGCCTGTATAGACTGGTATAAAGATACACTGCTGCATTATACCAGGTTAAACTAGTTGTACTTTTAAATTTGTATTGTCTACTGAAACTGGCACTGCCCGTCTTGGGTCATATCACTCCTATCTGATCATTTTTAAGTACAGGTGCTGGGGACTGAAGCTGGAAAATTCTTCCCCCAGCTTTTTAATTCCTTTCCGTACTACTTGGATATTTCCTATTTACCTCCAGGCTGTTTCTGTAATGCACATTTCAACTTCTTTTGAGGCACTATTAAGATTAGAAGGTTGTTCCTGTAAAGTAATTGCTATAGTTGGGCCAACATAAAATAGATTGTTCAATGTGTATCCTTCAGAAGGAAAAATAATTGTCCCAGAGAGAAGAAATGAAAATAAAACAGTTGCAAGGACTAGATTATACTTTTTAAGAAATTACCCATCTTCAGATTTTTTTGTTTTTTTTTTAACTTTACCTAAGAAAACAGGTTTTGTCCTTGCAGAAAGAAGTGAAAAAATACTGCTGAGAAACAGTAGCAAAGCTCAAATTAAGCTGGACTCTTCTAAGAGAAAACTCGTTCATCTTGGATTTTTATAGATTGATGCAATGTTTCTTTCAGTTTTGCTCCATGCTGAAAAATACTTTTTTTTTCCTGCAGTTACTGTGGTATTATATAGATCATATAACACACAAAAGTATAGAAATTAAGACATATTTTAAAAATATGGGGTTCAGAATTTTGAATGCAATATAAATTTACGTAATTAAAATTTTTCATAGGCATCATGTACAGATGGAAGATTATTTAATCATCTGGAAACTGTATGGCGCTTCAGTCCAGGAATTCCTGGCTATCAAAGGACATGCACCTTGGATTTTTCAGTAAGTAGCAAAATAATTCTTCCAAGCAATTGAGACCAGGGGAATGTACTTTGAAGCCGTATCTGGTTGAAGTATTGTTCCAATGAAGCATTTTAAATATGTATTTTAATGTGTATGTTACAGAGGTGGCTTGCCATTGCCTCCTTCCTAGGGCTGAGAGTGAGTGTTTGGCCCACGGTCACCCAGCTGGCTTTGTGCCTAAGGCAGGACTAGAACTCATGGTCTAGCTATTTCTAGCTTGGTGCCTTAACCACTACACCAAATTGGCTTTGTATAGATTGCTTTAAATTATGATTGCAAAATTACTGAGGGAGTTTGTGAGTCATAATTTTTAGTTGCAGCCATCCACCTTTAATGAATTTGCTTTTAAGGAGTGAAAGAATGCTTATTTCCAAGCAATTTTTAACATGCACAGAATAAATCATTCCACTAGTACTAGTAATTTCATTATCATTTCAAGGTTTTTTAATAGCATTTCATTCAAAGTTTGCTTTGGCTATTTTCAGGATTTTTTTTTCTGAACACAGGTAGTCCTCAGTTAATGACAGTAATTAGGACTGAATTTCCATCACTAATGACGCTGTCGTAAAGCACAACTTCTGGTTGCCATTGTTAAGCGAATCCTGCACTGTCGTTAACCTCGATGTCACGCGGTCACCATTTGCAACCTCCTGCCAGCTTCCCCATTGACTGCTTGTCAGAAGCTAGCAGTGAAAGTTGCAAATGGCAACTGAGTGACTGAGGGATGCTGTGATGGCCGCAATTATGAGGACTAGTTGTAAGTACCACTCATTCAGTGCCAACGGTCACTGAATGAGTGGTCATTAAGCAAGGATTACCTGTAGCTTTTTTTCGATTTTCAATATTGTTGTGTTGAACAGAAGAATTGTCAGAACTAGCCAAATGATTGCCTATTATTGACAAAGGTTATTTTTTAGAATATAAAGACTAATAAAATGCAATGTATCAGTGAACCAGTATATTTAGGTATTTATTTAAATGTAACTATTTAGCCTTCTTAAATGGGGATATAAGATTTCTTGGTTAGGTATTTTTAACTGTGCAGTGTTTTGGATTCTAAAGAAGAGAGGTCCTTAGGAATGAGCACACATGGGCATGCATGTAACACCTGTTGGCACTTCCTTACACTAAATCTTATGTAGGATTGGCCTGCAAGCTGTAGAAGACAGCTGTGCAATCCTAGGCGGACACAGCTGCTTTCAGTTGCAGACAGGTGCTGTTGGAATGCCCCCATGTACTCCAAAGGATGATGAAGCACTTTGAATTGGAAATCATATAAAGTCCTAAAACATAGCAAACTTAGAATATTGATTATGTGGGAGAAGGGATAGAGACAAAAGACAAAGTAACTAACGAAGTATTGTATTGTGTAGGGAGCACCATGTAATTGGGAAGTAAACCAAAAAATGCCACATGTTTTTGCTGTAAGTCCCACGGTATTCATTTTGTGTATGTATTACTGTATTGAGCGCTACAATACCATTTGAATGGAAAAGATTATTCGTAAGGTAAATGAAGGTATGATTCATGGCTGGAAAATTGGAATCTATAAATATTAGATTGAAGTTGCAGCACAAAATGCCCAAATTTTCTTATGATCTTGTAATTAGCCATTATTCACCAATATGAATTAATGTAAAAATGACTGCCTATCCATCTTAAACATTAGGGGTGACCGGTAATTTTATTTTCCTTTACAGATTTCTTTCGAGTTTCGCTCACTTTTGCATTCTCAGCTTGCCACATTGTTCTTTGATGAAGTTGTTAAGCAGATGGTAGCTGCATTTGAAAGAAGAGCAGCCAAGCTGTATGGCCCAGAAACCACAATACCTCGAGAATTAATGCTTCATGAAGTGCATCATACATAAAAGTAGTTTTCAAACTTCTTGGCACCACATTTACATATGAGATGTTTTTCTCATATGGCTTCCAATTATATGGGGCATTTTTTGCCAATTATGTATAATACTACTGTATAAAACATGCATGTAAGATGCAGGTGTACATAGAAGCTTCAGTCAAGTGCAATTCTAAGGTGCTGATAAGTTCACTGAGTGGCAGCTATATTTACAATTGCCTCCCTCATCTTTTCAGCATGTATAAAACTCAGCACTGTTACCAGTTCTATAGCCTTATTTTGACAATGTTTAATATTTACTATTGAAATCAAGTTTAAGTTATTATTTTAAATGCATATTTATTTTTAGTATTCAAAATTAGCTTTAACTAGCAGTGTGCAGTTCTGAAAGCAAAGCTTGTTTTCTTAGTGCATAAACTTTGGTAGCAGACTTAATATGCAGTATTTTAGTAAATTGTATGAATCCTACAGAAAGGGCTCAGCTTTACCAGTACATTATTTAACATGGTACTGTAGTACACTGTTTCAATATTCCAACAGGTGGCTACATATACTGGGGTCTTATATGAGTAATCATGAACTCTAGCTTTAAAAATATGTTCCAGTTAATGACAAACCATAATGCCTGGAGGTTTATGGCTTGTATCTAGCAGCTTGCTTTTACCAGCAGAACTGACAGTGCTAGCAAAGCACATTCCCACCTTCCTCCATAGTTCTCTCAATCTGCTTTAGAAAGTTGGAAAACAGATTAGGAATAAACAGGAGAAGGGATACTACTGTTTGTGTGAGTTGGCTTCTGTAACATTGGCTTTAACTATATGTAAATATAGTTTAAGTTAAAGCAACAGTGTATTTGAATTTAACACCTTTATAATTTTATATATTGCTGCACTTAATGTTTGTAATACAGTTTGATAAGCCTTGCTTGATTCATAAACATACTATTTCCTATGACTATTATTTTATGATACCATGCACTCATTTATTTTCATAAATGTGAGGGTACTGTAATACATGCTCAGCTGCATTCTTTACTACAGAACTGCTTAAACATTGCTCATAGGTCCCATAATCAAGTTAGCCCTAGAGCTTTAATCATGAAAAATTATTACTCAGGCAAGAAAAGTTCTTAGATTGAACGAAAGTACTGTGGGATTCTAAACTGCTTCAGTGCAGTTCTACTTTCAGCTACAAAAATTTTATTAAAACTTTTTTTTAGGCTACTGGAAAGCAGCTCAATCATCCTGCTTTCCATTTTCATGGATTAAAAGAAAAATAGCTTGAGAAGAATTTTTATATGAACGTTAACTTTTGAAGAATAATTTGTCTTCCCTTAAGAAAAACAATTTTGCTAAGAGTTATTGCCAGTTGGCTCTGAAATCCAATAAATGTTATCCAGGAAAATCTAGTACCTGCTATGAACAGGATTATGTTGTGAATAAGTTAATACATACCATACCTTAGAGCAATCTTTTTATTACATAAAGTTGTCACATAATTGTATATTTGTCTACTTTGTACACAATTTTATTCAGTCTTGCACACAATGGCTTCTGCATTTTTTAGTGACAGCAGGCACCAATAAAGTCTGATTTAGCAGAATTGCAAGTGCTTCAACTGGTTTTAAGTTCAGAGCACAGGATTGGTACATGGATCTGCACCCAGTATCAGGAATGTACAAATGTCTTTATTCAAAGTACAAAATAAATTATCTGTAGGCATGGACAATGACTGTAAACAATCATACATATGTCAACTGAAATCCAGTAACTGAATGTTACAGTGATTTTTTTTTTTCAACACAGACCCTTTCTGTGCAGTCACTATCCATCCTGTCTGACTCTGACCCAAGGTTCACTTAAACTATCAGGTCATGCATTGTATTTCATGATATGTATCCATGTAGCCTAGGATTTTAGAACATACCACCTCCCATTCCTCCACCCATTCCTCCCATAGCAGCAGCAGCATCCTTCTCTTCTTTGGGAATTTCAGTTACTACTGCTTCAGCTGTAGATAAAAGGGAAGCAACACCTGCCGCGTCCATCAGTGCTGTTCTCACAACCTATGAATGGATTAAAAGTATTATATAAAATAATGAATTACTATCCAAGAGCACTAGTACAGAATCATTAGAAAACTGTGTATTTACCTTTGTTGGGTCAATGATGCCTTTTTCTATCATATTCACAAAGTCGCCAAGCATAGCATCATAGCCAACATCAGGTGGGCTTTGCATGATTTTCTCAACTATCAGTGATCCTTCAACCCCTGCATTCTTGGCAATAGTCATAGCTGGAATTTTCAGTGTTCTCCTAACAATCTCTATGCCTAAAATAAACAGGGATCTGGTTACTACAGAAGCTCATCTTATAAATGCAAGTATTTGATACTAATTTCATTGCTGTTAATGGAACCAACATTGACAATTTTCATATATGTTGATTATCTTTCCAAACGTAGACTTCAGGTGTAAAATTTCCAGCCTGAATCATGAAATAAATTTTGTGAAGTCTATCTCCTATTCTCCAGCTCTCAACAGGCTCTGGATAGTTGAAGTCAATTTCTGAAGAAGGTAAAGGACAGGTGCACTGGGGAGAAGGGAGGGTACTATAGGAAGTTCTGAAGTTACTTAGAATTTCAGTGTCCAAGTGTGTTTTATAGTAACAAAAAAGTATTGCCATTTACTTACCAGTTTTCTGATCATCATTGGCTGGAGTCAAAGCGTCTAGTGCTGGAATACAGCGGAGCAATGCACAGCCACCACCCAGGACTATGCCTTCTTCTACTGCAGCACGAGTAGCATTTAGGGCATCAGTGACTCTGTCTTTTTTCTCATTAACTTCAACATCACTTGTTCCTCCAACCTAAGAGAAATCCTTGTTTAGCTTGTTGTCAAGTTCTTACTTAGAAATTATTTGCAGAGTTCTGTAATCTGAAAGACTCTGGATAAGGCAGCTTGTCTTACATGCTCGGAATGCTGTTGCTCAGGAAATAAGTATCAAAGCTCCCTTTGACATAAAAAACTAATCATACTAGTTTTCAGTCCTGTGGCAGGATTAAGCATCTTACTACTTTTACCACTGAAGAAACTGCACCGCTTCCAGTTTAAGAGATGACTCAGGCCACAAATACTATTGAGTTTAACAAACCACTGCTGTCATAAACCACATTTGAGAAAAGTACTATACAGTAAAACCCTGGTTTGCGAGCATAATTCATTCCGGAAACATGCTTGTAATCCAAACCACTTGTATATCAAAGTGATCACCTACAATCCCACAGCAAGAGAGAAGAACCATTGGCTCAGTTGTGATCATGTGACATTCAGCATCACATACTACTCATATTGCAAGACATTGCTCGTTTATCAAATTAAAATTTATTAGAAATGTTTGCTCATCTTGCGGAACACTCGCAGAACAAGTTACTCGCAATCCAAGGTTTTACTGTATAGTCTTCCTGTACCTTGCTATAGATACTATTTTCACAAAACCCAGTTTTTAATAGTTGAACACAATACTTTCACAGTCACTTGTAACTAATTTTTAGATCAACTACCTCCAACCCAGAGTCTCCTGGATAGGATGGGATTACCAAGTTTCAAGTGTGTTAAAGCCATTTATATCTGCCTTCTATTTATTTAAATTTGTATGCTACCCAACTGAGAAAGCACTATTAAGTAGGGCAATTATCATAAATAGATGAAATTCCTTAACTTGGGTTTACCCAGACAGAAAACCCATAACTACCTTTAGTACAGCTACTCCATCAGAAAGCTTAGCCAGGCGTTCATTTAGCTTCTCCTTCTCATATTCACTTGTTGTGGTTTCCAATTGTTCAATTATTTCCTGAATCCGTTTTTCAATCTGAGCCTTATCCCCTTTTCCTTTAAGCAATAAGCAGTCATCTTTGGTTACGATGACTTCTCCAACTTTGCCAAAATCATGAGGCTGAACATCTTCCAGATTTATAGTTAAACCTTCCTCTCCAAACACCTGCAATAGATAATATTGAACAAAGCTCTTCTTTGCTACCAGTTGCATTTTTTTTTCATATTCTTGCTATTTGCACAGAATCTCATTTATAGTCCAGGCACTTAAACAGTATAGTTTACATTTTTTTCAATCTTTATAGCTCACAGAGAATTATTAGTTTCATGCTGCACATTCAAGAATCCATGCAGGCCTCACTTTTTTCAGTTCAGACCTCCAGCTAACCAGCAGAGCATAAAACATGTTCTAGTTCTATTGCTGACACCTCTAGGCGGTAATGGAAAGGCTCCTGCCTCACAATATGGAAGTCCACTTGTTTCCAATGTCGACAGTTGTGAGCTAGGGTTTTTGTTTTGTGGTGCTTTCAAGTTAGTGTTGATTCCTGGTGACTGCCTGGAAGGGTTCCTGCAGTTTTCCTGCCAAGATTTTCAGAAGTGGTTTGTCACTGCTCTTCCTACAACTGAGAGTGAGTGACTAGCCCAAAATCACCCAGCTGGCTTCATGCCTAAGGCAGGACCAGAACCCACAGTCTCCTGGTTTCTAGCCTGATGCCTTTAACCTCTGTACCAAACTGACTCTCTATGAGCTACATAGCTGGTCTTAAAATGGTGGGGCAAGTTCTACCATTGCAAGAATGCAAATCTGGGCACCCTTGGTCTAAATCCCAAAGCTCTTTGCAAGTACTCTTTTCACACTTCTAACAAAAGCCATCTGCTCTCTCCTAGCAGCCCATTAGAACTAAAAAGTTTAAAGATGACTGAGTTAGGCAGATCAATAGTCTGCTTTGGCATAAAACACCTTCCCATTCTCCTTTGATATAAATAAGGATCAAATATTTCAATAAATCAAGTATGCAATAAATTATGTTAGGATCCCACAACTCTAGAAATTAAATAAAATAGAAATACAGATTATTAACTTTGCATTAATGCTGCCAATTTCTTATGGATTAAGAATCTTCCATTTCTTTTTAGGGTTTACTTACAGCACCACCAGTAGCAATCGCCATATCTTTAAGCTGATTTTTTCTATTGTCACCAAAACCAGGTGCTTTTACTGCAACAACCTGCAGGCCAACCTTCAATCTGAGAAAGAAGATCCAGTAAGCAGCATACACTTTTAAGTTTGAAATCTTTTAACACTTCTCTGCCCAAGTATATTTCATTGTATAATTGTAAATACACTTCATTTTAATATGGCAATTTAACTAAACCTATAGGCCATTCATTATTTACAGACCAAAATAACCTCTGAAGTAAACTACATTCCTGGTTTCCAGTAAAGATTCAATTTTTTCCCCAGTTAAATTTCTCTTTAGATCAGTTCTTAACCTTTTTGTCCTATGGACCCTTTTGGGAGTCTGGTGAAACCTACAGACACTTTTCAAAAGTGTATTTAAAATAAAATACATTAGTCTGTATTACAAAGGAAACCAACCAATTATTCTCAAATATATATTTATTAAAATATTAAAAACTAACAAATATGTAATAAAGTAATCTATGTGTTTTTTATTAATCAAACCATTAACAAAAGTATATTCTTTTTTAAGGGTATAGTAATTTCAGATGGTGAGATTTACTGAAATTAACATTTTTGGAATTTTAAAGCCATAAATTACTTTGTTGCCTATAAATCATTTAATGAATAGCTACATTTAAAGTAGAAATTAGTGAAGATAAAGCTGTAATTTCCCCACCCAAGTTTGCAGACCCCAGGTTAAGAACCTCTGCTTTAAATAAATTAAAACTACAGATTACCTTAACTAGTTTGCAGCATCAGTCCCAATTGCAACTAGCTAATACTTCACACTTTTGCTCAGTCCTACTAAAATCAGAACTGTTATATGGCTATGTTTACAGCTGCTATATTAACAAGTTATTAAACTGTCTATTAAAATAGGTACACAACTGCTTTGATAACTTACTCTCAATTCCCATCGCTAATAATCAAGAACAAGCTTTCACTCATTTATTAAAGACAACCAAAGAGTATCCCTCTGCACTGTTCTAACACTGCAGGAGAAAGTAATTTACCACTGCATTAACAATCTCATTTTAGCACTTTGCTGTGTTCCCTATTTTCTTCAAAATCTGTTCCCAAATGCTTAAAAATCCCCTTTCTGTCCCAGGAACAGAAACAGCCTCCACTAACACAAATGTATAGCAAATTCTTCTCTTCTTAATGGAAAGAGTTAAAATTCTAAGTGCACTAGCATGGAAGTCTAACTACAATCAGAGGGGCTTCCTTTCTTAAAAAATGACTGTACAGGATTGCAGCTTCTTGTGTTGAAAATACTTTGGAAAAGGTGCATTAAAAAAAAATTATATCAAATTTACCTGTTTAGCACAAGTGTACTGAGAGCTTCTCCATCTACATCTTCAGCAATAATAACTAAAGGCTTACGATGATTATTTGCAATTTCAAGAGCTGGTACTATGGATTGAACACTGGAAATCTTCTTTTCACTGATTAACAGATAAGCATCTTGGAACTCACATTTCTGTCCTACAGAGGAACATAATAATATCGAACTTTATTATGAAGGTTTTTTAAATTGCAAAACATACACAAATTCCATTCAAAGATGGACCCACAAGGCATCCATCTTGTTTTTGGCTGAAAGAAAATTTTATTTAGGGCACCCTGCAGAAGTGCTGGGATCACAATTCTGAAAATTCTCAGCAGCATATACCATCTGGTTGTGTATTCCTCAACTACAGTTGTTATTAAAATTTATATAGCAACACATCACTTGCATGTGACTCTGGGTGACGTACATAATTAAAACACGAGTAAAATCACAATCTTCTACCATTAAAAGTAATTAAAAAATTAAAAGCTACATT